CAGTGGGAAGGCCTGTAAATAAATGATGCCTCTCTAAGGCTTGGTCCCATGGGAAAAAGGAGGCAAAATTACATGGCCGTGGAAGCAGCAGTGTTTCCGAGGCAACTTTAGCTTTCAATGTGAGGAACTGGCTGCCCAATTTTATGAAATCATACTTTTTCCTTCTCCTGCCAAGTAGGCTGATTGGGAAAAGCCAAGAGGCGCGGCATCTAAGAGAAAAGAGAAGTCCTTATGCTGGTTTTTTAAGCGTGATTTTTTCAAAAATCTTTGTCAGTATGGAAATGTAAAGCAGACTCGTGTTTTTGTTTCATCTCTTACTTTTCATATTATGTGAAGCGGGTTTTCAGGCCTGGTCTGATGGAATGAGCCTACGAAGGTGCTAGCATTAGTTAAATTGCTTCATCTTTGGATTGTAGGGTGGCCTTACAGAAACCTAGGTCAGTCAATTAGCTCCTTTTTATTATGTTACAGTAAACAATTGAGTGTGTTACTGTAGTATTATTCTGTACAGTTAATTGAAGTGCAGTGTTGCAGTGTCAAGACGGGATGCTTTGTATTCACTGACATGAAAATGTGTGATCCAGATTGTTCGGGGATTTTTTTGTACATCATCTGCTCTTTTTTAATGTTAAGCAAAAAAATGCATAAATGGCGTGTTTTGTTTCTTGAGTTGTTATGGTTTAGGATCATTAATTTAATACCTAATAAGGAACACAGTAATGAGAAAATATTCTGACATCATTGAATGTTGTTAACTCTTCAATTCTGGACCACTGGAAATGTGTAATGCAGACACCATTTCTAAGGCAGCACGAATAGTGTCCTCTGACAGTCTTGCCATCCTTACACTGGAAGAAATCATTTGTTGAAAGCACCTTGTACCTTTTGCATTTGGCTATTTGAGTACATAGTGTGCATCAGGAGACCTTGGTGATAAAACATTGAATGTAGTTCATGCCATTTTATCCAGGTGTGTATAAAAGCGCTTTAAATTCTCAGATCACATAGTTTACTTCCTCCTCTGGTAATTTGCTTATTGCTGTAAGTTAGCATGTGTGTGTGCATACAGCTTGTCCATACTTTTTGCTGTAGATATTTGCTGACGGTTAAATTATGATATATGATCTATGAAAATTTGGGAACGAGGGAAATCCCCTTTAGAATTTTGTTTTCTGCTTCAGGCATCATGTGTCACTCTCAAACACTGAGGCTAAACTCTGCTGTGTCTTTGCTGTGTGTGTCCCACGCATCTGCAGAGTATCAGTGTGGCTGCCATCTGGAAGGAGGGTTGGCTGTGGTGTGTTCCTGATGCTTGGAAGAACGTGAACTTTCATCTGCAGACCATTCTCTTAACTAGTGTGTAAAAAGAACTGTTTTTTCTTTCTCAAAATAAGCAGAATTACAGTTTTAGCAGCAAAAACAGCAGCTACTGGACGGTTACTGATAAAGCGCTAGCCATTTCCAAAATATTTGTAAGATTGGGGTTAGAAGAGGCTTCATCCTTGAGTATTTGATAATAGCTCAGTGTCTGTGTTATGGTTCTTGAAGTCTTTTTTGGAAATAGCAAGGGGCACCCAAAGACAGTAATATTCTGAGAATGTTCAAGTGCAATTACTTTGGAGCCAGGCCTAAGCGCTGTGGAGTAATAACGCAGACTGTTCACTTTTCATGAAGTCTCCTTGGCTCTGGCAGACAGTGTAGATAAGAAACTTTGAGGTTTTGGGCTTCAGAGCATTATAACCGCCCTAGGATTTGTGCAGGCACCCAGCACTCCATTTCTCCAGCATATCGACCCAAGGGCAGGCAGCTGTACTTCTGTAGTCCTGTGGTGAAGTCCTGCTGCTTGGTTGAGTTGCTCTGTTGCTGCTGAGTGCCACCTGAAGTGCCTTGCTCCCTGGGCTGATGTATCAGCTTGCTCTTCAGATGACTCCATCATTCCCTTTCACCATTAGGTGGTATAGAGCACTTACTCCTGAATACTTTCTGCTTTTGTTACCCTTCCCAAGACTTTTTAGTAGTTATTCGTGTGCTTCAAAGCAACTGTATTTATGGAAGTTGCTATGATTTTTATCCAAATGTAGAGTTGCAGATGTTAAAACATAACTATATATACAACCACACGACTAAGAAAGCTCATTGCCAAGGAAGTGAAGACCAGTTTAATGAGGATGGAGTCTTTACACGTGGCTATGCCTAGGAAAGCTTTCTGATTGTTGTGACTGGCCTAGCAAGCCTCTTTGGCCAGCTGGGAAATACTGGTGGGTGTCTTGGTGTCCCCTGAAGCCCTTGAGGTTCTTGTATATGTGGGGCTGCGTGCCGCATTGCTTAGCTTCGCTTTCTTGCCTGGGTGGACTCTCACTGTTCTGCATCCAGCAGGACTCTTGAAAAGAACTTATAAACAGGAGGGGAAGCAGCTGTTTACAAGAGTGCATCGTGATAGGACAAGGGGGAACGGTCTTAAACTGAGACAGGGAATGTTAAGGTTAGATATTAGGAGGAAGTTTTTCACACAGAGGGTGGTGACACACTGGAACAGATTGCCCAAGGAGGTTGTGGATCCCCATTCCTGGAGGCTCTGGGCAGCCTGGTCTGGTGGTTGGCAACCCTGCACACAGCAGGGGGGTTGAAACTTGATGATCTTTGTGGTCCTTTTCAACCCAGGCCATTTGGTGATTCTAGGACTACTACCAAGAGGTTTGTTAAAGCTGTGGAACCTGCTGCTCACCTATACCAGCTCCTTACAACATTTTGCAAGTAACATTTTGGATTGGTGCTGCCCAGGCTCAGAGTTAGCCTGAGGTAAATTTCTGTGTGAATACTGAGAAAACACTTTTCATGTATTTTTTTGGCCATAAGAACAGTTAAAGAGACATATAATTCTATGTGGATGGGGGAATTATTAAAATAAAAACACTGTAGCCTAATACCTTAATTTAGGAGATATGCCCTGAAGTACGTTGAATGAAATTATTTTGGTTGACTAAGCTATATTCTGGCTAAACTAGAATTTATGAGTTTGATGGAGAAGTAGGTGAAATTTTATAACCTGTGTTACTTAGGAGGTCAGATGAGACAGTTTTAATAGCTCCTTCTGACCTTGAAATCTGTGAATCCCTGAACCTTTCTGAGTTACCAGAGTATCTGAGGGAGGCTCCAATATGAGTTAGAGACTGCGGTGTTTTGGGGCATTTCCCTCACGTGGAAAAGCCTCTGAGAGCAGGGTATGTAGTTTTCTCTGTTTAAAGGCACTCAGGAGATTCCTTTAGAAAATACAACGGTGTGGCTTGGACCCAAAATTTGGAAATGACTGAATTAATGGTGCTTGAACCACTGCAGCACAGGTACTTTGGAACTGTGAGTTGTCTTACGTTCTACAATGCCTTAATCAAACAATGGATCTCAAATAGTGCAGTGCTAGTTCATATAGTCTTTGTGTCTGGAGTTAGGCATAAACCTTGTGCCCCCTGCATTGCTTTATGTGACAAGTACTTCATAAGAGTAAAACAAGTGAAATAGCATAGAGTAAAATAGTACAGTAAACACTGTCTATTAAAGGGATTTTTTAAGCTTTAGACTGTAGAATGTTACAGACATGTATTGACCTTTGCAACCAGATGATGATTTAGCTTTGTGATGGACATATTCTCAAGTGTTATTCAAGGTGCCTATGCTGCTAATAAAACAATATATGAATGTCAAACAAGTATTAGAATGCATAAATTTAATGAGGTGGGAGCTTGCATTAACCATGAAAATCAGTGAGAAGTTGCTGGGATGGTACAGTGTAGATAGTGATATAAAGATAATCTGTAGGAGTTTGAATGGATTTTCTATTGATCAAATCAATTGAAATTGTATTGAGAAGTAGTGTGTGTGAATTCAAAAGTGTATTCACAGTGTGCACAAGGGGGCAGAGTTAGTTTCACATGTACCTTACCTCCAGCATACCGCGTATTCTGGTTACCTGGCTGTATAACTGTAATATTCCTTGAGCACAGTTTTATTTTACATACAGTTCTCTCATTTTACTGCTGTTTTTAAACCGTTCAGTTCCGGGGTTATTTCTAAAGATAAGCATTTTTGAGGAGTGAATAGCGAAAAGACTGGAGGATTGCTGGTAAAGGAAGGAAGTCCAGATTGCACAAGTTTGTATATACTTGTCACATGGTTAGTAATTTTGCAGGAAAAATATTCTGTCCTACTATATTGTGAGAAACTGACCCTGGTTATGATTTATTACAAGAAAGTTAAAATGTATTGCAAGAAAGTCAACATTACTTTAAATATTCTGCTGCCTAAGCTGTAATTCTTGTATCTCCACCGAGATTTGCAGAATAGATGCACAGAATAAGAATTGATCTGCAATATAGAAATAAAACACCATTTATTACCCATTTCTGATCACAATTGCTTAATAAAAGTAACTGCTGTTAATCCATGGTTTGGTCATAGCAAAAATATGACACAATAGTGCAAAACATCTAACCTTAGAAGATATGTGGTAAAATGATTCCCAGTGGAGTTTTATATTGTGTTGCTAATGTTCACATGAAGAACAATGTACATATAGAAGTAACTGGCTTATTTGTTCACTTACAGTTACACTGCTGTAATTTGAAGTGATGCTTCTTTTGCTTCCTGGGAGAGAATTTAGAGCAATCCACAGTATTCTGTTTATCTTCTTGTTACATCCACTGAAGACTTTTTCATTATAAGTTAATGTATTTGATTACATAGTGAAAGTGAACATTTCTGTGTATCATATGGAATTTCTAAACTGTGTTTTGTTTTGTTTTGTTTTTTTTTAAAGGAAAATTTTTTAGTCAGAAGTGATAGGCTTCTAGGAATTGTTGAACTGGCATCCAGATTTTTGTTAAGTTCTGCTAGCCAGAGGAGGGCTGGAGATGGAAGCAAACAAAAAACATGTATTCTGCATTCATGGTTGACAGTTGAGTCTGAGAATTTATATAATTAAACTTTTTTATACTTGTCATTTGCAGGCAGAAATTGTGAAGAGGCTGAACGCTATATGTGCACAAGTCATTCCCTTCCTGTCCCAAGAGGTAGGTAGAGGTTTTTACTCATACCAGTCTCAATAGTTGCCTTGTTATAGTCCCTCTTGTTGAAGTGGGACTTCGTGTTGAGATACTTCACTTAAGAATCTTACAGTGCTTTATTTGACTTTCCAGTGTGTTATTCTCATTGTAACTTAATTATCTTCTCCAATTCCATTATAATGTAATTTATATGTACTTACTTGAAATGAAGAGTGTTGTGATGTGTTAAACAAAATTTTAGTTGTTCAAATATTTTGCTGTCATGTACAAATGTAGTTTTGCTCCCAGTTCTGACTTTGTCAGTCTGAAATCAGAGGATAGCTTGCCAAGAAGGTAGGAGGGCATGATTTATGCTACATTCTTGGCGGAAGGCTTTGAAGTTTAGTAGAAACTTCTGTTTTGGTGTACTGAGTGGTGGTGTTCCACAGACTTACAGATGCAGCTTTTTTTCTGCCTGTTTTCTCATCCCAGACTGGTTATTACCTTTAAATCCTTTTATTATTTCTGTGTATTTTTGCAATATAGGCAGAACATCGAAACTTACTGTAAGCTGATTTCTGTAAGCACTAATTTTCTTGAAATTACGATTTACTGGTATTATCTTGAATGCTCAGTAGATGGTTTGAAGGGCACTGGAATTTGGGGGAGTTGGTTGGATGTTGCATGGAGCCTTGAAGTTGCAGGCATGGGTGAAGGGAATAGTCTGTGTGATTCGTGAAAGGAGTAATTGGGTATGTGATGGCTTCCCTTGCCCACCCCTCCAGGACAACAGATGAGGAGTTATGTGTGCTTCTGTTTAATTTGAGGTTTCACTGCTGTAGCGTAGAAGTTAGAGCTGGAAGCTGTATTTCTTTGTAGTGTAATCCATAAAACGTATTTGTACCTGACAGTGTGCTAGGACTCTCTTTTCTGCCTTCTCAGCTGTCTCGTAAAGTACTGTTGCTTTTCAGGGGAGCTGTTAGTCATGCTGTGTTCTAAAGGCCGTGTGCTCAACATCAGCATTGTGCTGATGCTCTGTGTGTGTATGTGTGTGCATGCATCTGCCTGTGTTTGAGAAGAAAATGATGCTATCAGACCTAGAACTTGGCAATGTTCATGAGTGTGTCAGTGCTCTTTGCCTTTAAAGATAGGTTTGTGGTAACTAAATGATGTGTAATTATCTAATTATATTGCTGGGGGACCAGAATTCAAGTATTGTTTGGATCTAAAACAAGTAACTACTGGTGTTGTATTTTGCTACAGAATCACTGTACTTTTAGTTATGGGTTTTCATTTGCTGCACAGAATCATAGAATCACAAGGTTGGGAAGGACCTACAAGATCATCTAGTCCAATCATCCTCCCATTACCATTGCTACCACAGGCTACTAAACCATATCTCGTAGCTCCTCATCCATTTGAGGGCGAGGACACTTGAACGCTGCCAGGGACGGTGACTCCACCACCTCCCTGGGCAGCCATTCCAGTGCCTGACCCCTCTGAGAGAAAAAGTTCTTCCTTATGTCTAACCTAAACCTCCTCTGGTACAACTTGTGGCCATTTCCTCGGGTCCTGTTTGTTGTGTGGGAGAAGAGGCCAAACCTCTCCTCATCACAGCCTCCCTTCAAGAAGCTGTAGAGCATGATGAGGTTTCCTCTGAGCCTCCTCTTCTCTAGACTGAACAATCCCAGGTCCGTCAGCTGCTCCTCTTAAGATCTGTGCTCCAGACCCCTCACCAGTTTTGCTGCCCTTCTCTTCCAGGACATCAATGTCTTATTTGTAGTGAGGGGCCCTCCAGGCAAACAAGGGTACCCAAACAACGGTATACCTGTCCATGCCACAGATAGCCAGTTTCCCCAGGAGAATGCTGTGAGAGACGATGTTAAAGACTTTGCTGAAGTCTCAGTAGACTGCATCAACAGCCTTTCCCTTGTCTACCAGTCTGGTCACCCAGTCTTAGGAGGAGATGACGTTGGTCAAGCACGACCTGCCTTTCATGAGCCTGGGCTGGCTGGGCCATGTGGGCACGTGCCATGTGATCTCACCCAAGATGATTTGCTCCATAACCTTCCCTGGTACTGAGGTCAGGCTGACAGGCCTGCAGTTCCCCGTATCCTCCTTACAGCTCTTCTTGTAGATGGGAGTCACATCAGCAAGCCTCCAATCCTCTGTGAGCTCTCCAGATATCCAGGGGCACTGGTAGATGGCTGACAGCGGCTCAGCAATCACCCCCGCCAGTTCCCTCCTCACTCTAGGATGGAGCCTGTCCGATGCCATGGACTTGTGACAGTCCAGATGGAGGAGGGGCTCTCTAACTGTCTCCACCTGACTCACCAGGGTGGTATTCTGTGTAGCATCCCAGACTTCCAGAGCAGGGCGTAAAGTGCCCTGAGGATAACTGATCTGCCTATTAAAGGCAGATGTAAAGAAGGCATTGAGGACATCAGCCTTCTCCTTATCCTTAGTGGTCACATTCCCCACTGCATCAAGTAAAGGATGGAAATTCTCCTTGGTTCTTCTCTTACCATTGGTACCTTTGTGAAAGGACTTCTTATTCTCTTTGACTGCAGTGGCCAATCTGAGTTCAAATTGGGCTTTTGCCTTCCTAACTTCCTCTCTGTATACCTTAGCAGCTTCCCTGTAATCTCCCCAAGTAGCCTGTCCCTTCTTCCAGAGGACATAGACTCTCTTTTTCTTGCAGAGTTTCAACAGTAGTTCCCAGTTCATGCACACTGGTCTTCCCCTGCAGCTTGCCTTACAGCATTCAGGGACAGCTGTTCTTGTGCCCTTATGATTTGCATCTTGAGCAGTGTCCATGCTTCCTGGACCCCTTTATTCTTAAGGCAAAACTCCCCAGGGACCCATGCTACAAGCATCCTGCACAGGTCAAAGTCTGCCCTCTTGAAGTTCAAGATAGCAATTCTGCTAGTCACCCTTCTGACATCTCCAAGAATAGAGAATTCTATGATTTCATGGTCACTCCGCCCAAGACAATGCCCATCCTTCACATCTCTTACCAGTCCTTCTCTATTAGTGAAGAGCAGGTTTAGCAGGGCATCAACCCTGGTAGGCTCTCATACCAGCTGTGTAAGGAAGCTGACTTCCATGCACTCTAGAACCTCCTGGACTGCATCCTCTGTCCTGTGTTATACTTCCAACATGTATCAGGAAAGTCAAAGTCTCCCAGGAGAACAAGTGATGGCAATCACGCAACTTCTGCAGTCTGCTCATAGGATGCCTTGTCCTTCTCTTCATCCTGGTTAGGCGGTCTGTAGCAGACCCCCATCAAGATGTTGCCCCTGTAGACCTTTCTCCTGATCGTTATCCATAGACACTCAACTTCGTCATTCTCAACCCCGAGGTCTTCAACATCAAAACTGTCTTTAATATAAAGGGCCACACCACCACCCTTCCTTCCTCGTCTGTCCCTTCCACAGAGCTTGTAGCCATCCATCACAGCACTCCAGTCATGGAAGTGGTTGCACCACATTTCGGTAATAGCAACTAGGTCGTAGATAGCCTGCCACACAATTGCTTCTGAGCCCTCCTGCTTGTTGGCTGTGCTGTGTGCATTGGTGTAAATGCACTTCAGCTCAATCATCTGCCTCACCCCCACTCAAGCATCGTTCCCCTAGGCTCATCTCTTGTGAGCCTTGTTTTGTCCTGTTTCCCTGTCATTGCTAGTTTAAATCTCTTTTGATAAGCCCCGCTAGTTCCTGCGCTAGGATTTGTTTTCCCCTTTGAGACAGGTGCGTTCCATGCACAGACAATAAGCCAGGATCCGGGTATACTGCCCCATGATCAAAGAACTCAAAGTTTCTGCCTTGACACCAGCCTCTGAGCCAATTATTCATTGCTTGCGCTTTCCAAGCGTGTTCCATGTCCCTCATTGCCCTTGAAGGTATAGAACAAAAGATCACTTGCGCTCCCGCTCCTTGGACTAAACGTCCTAAACCCCTGAAATCTTTTTTCATAGTTCATAGGCTTCTCTGAGCAATTTCGTAACTGCCCACCTGAACTATGAGTAATGGAAAGTTATCAGTGGACCTAACCAGCTTTAGGAGTTTCCTGATTATGTCCCTGACCCAGGCCCCAGGAAGGCAGCACACTTACTGATGGCTTGGGTCTGGTGTGCATATGGGACCCTCTGTTCCTCTGAGAAGGGAGCCACCCTCCACGGTCACCTTTCTTTCTTTCCTGACAGAGGCAGTCTCAAGGTGTGGTTACCAACTCACCATAGGCTCCCTCCTAGGCAGATCCTCCATTGCCTCACCACTCATCTCCCCTTCAACCTCCAGCGTATGAAACCTGTTTCTTAGAGAAAGCTGGGGAAGCGAGGTAGGCAGGCAGACATGAATAACACAGCATATAAAAATGAGGTGTAAAGCTGATTCATACTCATGCTAAAGTGAGCACAGAAATGTCACGATTTTGAAACAAAGGCAGGATTGAGTTCTTGGCAGGCAAAGCTGTGATCTTGGCAAAGGCACAGGATCAGCATTTCTATGACAGAGACATCTTTTCCAGAGTATGCAGTACAGTGTTTAGAAACTTTGTACCAGAATACTCCTACTGGAACTGCTATTTTCAGAAGAATTCTTGAGCAGAACGTTATTACAGTATGTAATAGCAGGTCGTGCCGCTCTGCTTGCTCTGCTTCCAGATCCCAGGCTGTTCTTCCTGGAACAGGCATGGTTCTTGCCATGAAGAAAGAGAGCTTAAAGTACATCTGAAGAGAGACATGTTTGATTCACAGTGACTGATGGATTTTGGCCCTCAGCTTTGATTTTGGAAGTGCTAGCCTGCATTGCCGCTGTGTGCTCACATGGATTTAAAAGAAGAAAATACACTTAAGTTTTTGAGATTTAGTATTAGTGGCATCCTGCTTAGGTGAGCTCAGACTCTGCCCTGTTTTTCATTTGCTCTCCAGTGCCTGCAGCTGCATCAACCAGGAGTCCTTCTCCTGAAAGCTGGAATTAGCACAATTAAAGTGCATGGATAAGAAAGAGAGGAGGCACTGTGATCGC